GCCGATATTTACATCCTCCCTGTTATTTGTAGGTAATCCCTATCAACGAAAACTGATATCAATACGGGAAGAAAAAGTATGTACACTCGATACGACTGACCAAGGGGTATGTTTCGATTATCTTACCGGGTCAAAGTTTTATTTTTATTGAGCCAACGTTAGTTGCGCCGACTGCAACCACTAGAGAAAAATCCATATCGCCAACGGCCTAACAATGCGACGCGTTCATTTAATACAAAGACGTCGGGAAGAATTCTTGCCAAGTATGGAGGAACGGAATCAATTCTACAAAAAGTAAAAATGAATGAGACTCCGCATAGCAGTAAATAAAATGGTATTAATCAAACTTCTTACCAGCAAAGTGCCTTTTTTTTTCAACACACCAATTGTTCGGTGAATGAAACCGATGATAATCTCCGGGTGCCAAGTAAAAAATAAACCATTTGTCATGGGAGATTTCGTCGTCATTGCAGGTACAAGTTCACTCTTTTTTCTCGGCAACATGCTTCTTGGCGTTATCCTTATCTTCCTCAATAAGAGCCTCCAAGGAATACGTTATTCCATTTAATGAAGCAAATTTCTTCCCGTCAGTTATTGTTATGGGCATCGGAAATGATGAGAGAACCTCTGATAAACTAGTAGAAGAACTGTTCCCGATAAGTGCGTCAAGTAAATATGTCGAGCCTTTTACTTGAGATATACGACCATCTATTATGTGTCCGAATGCTAATGCTCTTCCATCAGATGGGAATACCTGGTAGAATAATGACGAGTAAAATAACCTTTGTAAGCGAATAACCAATATTGGAATTGGCGTTCCAAAATCTTCTTACCAAGACGCTCTTCTCTTCAATAACTCGTACTCCAGGTTTCAGTTCTCGACACCGAGATTACGACAACTCTTTAAATCATCCTTAACCTTGTCCATATTATATCCAAATACCCACGCGTACAGCTTATAAACCGGTTTTTCTCATGAAAACAGGAAGATCGTAGTCACCGTTTAGTCGACCCAATAAACGTGATATCGCCCGTAACGGGAAAGCGTTCACTACGTGTACCTACAAAGCGATGTACGCAGTTATGCAAAGTGTAGGATGAGTTTTGGTTAAAAACTATAACCATCCGCGAATAATAGACGATGCCTATAACTTCTCCAAATAAATCTTCGTTATAAATACCTGCCATGCTCCGCGTACAACCGGTCGTGAAGAATCACTTTCTAATTGTTGTCTATTGTAGGCGTGTCGTACTTGCTGCAGGACAAGTAACGCAACACCAAAACTCATGGGTATTGGGTACCATTTGATTTCCTTTTTTTCTAGCGAATCTCGTAGTCGGACTTATGAGTGTGAAAAAGGTTGTTTTCATCAGCGTGTCAAAATACCGTTGGGATCGGCCTCACAACACAATTTGGTAAGGTTCTTGTACATCTCTGGTGCAGATTCAGGCGTTACAGGGCGCAGTTTCCCCAGAATATCACAAAGTAATTTCTATCGAATTCTCTATCTCTAAACGGTGGAATGCCAAGTGAATTTGAAGAACGGCGTCTTATGTTAAAGTCACCATATCTTGAATTCGATGTGCTGTCATCCAAAATGTCACTAGCATGGAGATCACAATGGACCAAGCCTGCATGCAGAATGGATCAACAGATATAGACATTCTCTTGATTGGTGTGACGCAATAAATGTGTTATAAAATTTTGTGATCCATGACGTAATGCATCCGCTTTTTTTTTCACGCGCCTTGACCAATTCACGCCGTTTGATCCTTTCCATTTTCTGCGTCTGACGCTTTTTTCTTCACATCCAATATTTCTTACCGCGGTCCTCGTCCTCACACTTGGAATTTTCTTTCCCGCAGGACGTCGTCCACCAATTTTGAGATCTTGTCGTCTGACCGGCCCGTCGCGTTTTTTGTGCACAAAATTTGTCTATTCCAAGGAAGTACCTATTTCAAATTCAATCATAATCATGGCATCACAATATCCTACAGCGCGAAGGACTATCTCACTTTGGTGGGATCTCCTTTGGTCGATGCTTGAAAAAAGGTTGCTGGATCCCTGCTAGGGTAGGCCTAGCAACCCAAATCTTGAGGCCTTTTTCCAGAGTCCATTTTGTCAATGCCAACTGTTGTTTCTGCTGATTAAATTTTGTTGGTTCATTAATACTAATGTTTCAGATTATAAATTATTCTGAATGGACATCTCAAATGCAATAGCTCGTTATCTGAATGATGTGGTCTTCTCTGAATGGTCCATCACTGGCTGCCTTAAATTTTTAGCAGAGAAGGATATATGGGTGACATCTCAAAAACGAGAAGAAATTATGAATGAATTCAAACGCCAGACGGAGATGACAAGCACCCATCAGTCATTAATTCAAAAGGCCCGAAACAAGGCGGCAAAACTTTCTAGTAGTGCTGAATGGGTGTTTCAGTTTGCAGAGGTCACAGCCTTTTTTGATCGAATGGATAAAGAAGTATGTATTTACAAAGTTTTTAGTTGTCACTTGACCTTTATTCATATCTAAAGCCTAATTGGTTTGACAGGCGAACGAACGTTTGTTGAATGTCAAAACGAGCTTATATGAATCAGCAGTGAAAGTGCAGGTCATGGGTGATAAATTGGTTACTCTCTGTCCAGAGCCCTCTACAAGTGATCTGACAGCAGTTAGAGATGCACCCTCTCTAGTAACGCCTTCTGCAACCAACTCAGTCGCTGCCTTAGTTGATTCAAGAAGTCCTGAAAAGAGGAAACGTGAAGAAGATAATGTAAGATTCTAAAACATTTATGGCACCTATTTAAAGAAAGTCGTTTGAAATGTTGCTATCTTCTGTCCAGGAAATTGCAACGGATATTTTTAGTAATGTTCTGACACAATGCGAGACATTTGTTTTGAACATACAAAATACTACCCTGGCGACGATGTTATTGATCTACGGCCAAAATCGTCATTCTCCAAGCAACTCTCAAGCGGAATCATCGAAAAATATGTTGTGGAAATCGACGAGAAAACGGAGAGTCTGATTCCCGAAACTGTGCATAATTTTCTCGCTGAATTCTTTTCTCAAGATTTAACTGGCACAGAATGGCAGCAAAGAATCGATGATTTACGATCACCCGACAACAGCGATACATTAATGGTCGCAACAATACGAATTCTACGGCAGACGTTGCCGCAATTGTAAGGCGAGTCGTTATGCTTTTTTTTTTCCCAATTGGTAATTTGATTGTATTCAAACATCATACTATGTTGAATTTTGGTAGTGTGAAAGCATTCTCTCTCAGTGCTTTCAATCCTCTGTTGAATGTCACAACACTTGAAAAGCCACACCTAAATGCCTTCGTTCATCCGTGCATCGAGGCAACTCTTTGGCACATTGCTCAGGTCCATTATGAGTTTGGCGAGATTCCATCTAAGAATCACGTCAATCGCGAATGTGCAGATGGGGTTGGATTTATGACAAGTGCGGACAAATTTCAGCTTGTCTATGTTGAAGGATCAAAGCCAACAGCAGACGACGCCAAAGAAATTGCAGACGCCAGAAAAATAGCAAGAAATTTGCAGGACATGTTCTCAGAAATTGTTAAAACTACGATAAAAAACCGACGGCGCCTCCCAGAGAATATGTTTGTCTTTGGCGGCCAAAGCTTTGAACTGAGGATATACCTCTATTTCTTGGACTATTGCGGTATGCTATATCGGTTTCCATTGAGAATGTTTCTCGCAAGAATGTACTGATGTAATTTCGCCTCTGATTACAGGCAAACACTGCTTAAACGAGATCGATAACGCAAATGTTCCGCGTGATTTTTCGGAGATGCTAGACTTTGTCTCGTATTACGAATGTTTTTTGAAATGGGCGGTATGTATAACGCATGGATTTTATGTTACAATTATCGAAACTGTACTAATTTTTGATGAATTTAGCTGATGATCAAAAACGTCACGAATTCGTTCAAGAAGATCAGAACGGAGAAAAGACCATCGAGACTCTCATACGTAAAAAGCATCCGTCTTCTGGAGGATGCTACGAAGCCAAATTGATACCCTAACAATCGCGCATTAAGAGATGGACTGGATGTTATATCCTCAATGCACCATGGACGATAATGAAAGCCTGTTTTTCAAATGGCGAAAGTGATGCCGGAAATTGTATATGGGCGGGAAGGCTGGGAAAATTGGTGGATGATGTGTTTAGTCGCTTGGTATGGTTGCTGCAGAGAGAACGTTTAATCATTTTTATACATATTCGTGCAATAAATTCCATTTAATCGAAACTGAACCAATACAATTAACTGAGCTATCGTGATCAAATCCCGACTGGACAGATTTCGTGCATTAATATGACGGTGGCACTCCCAGTTATATTTATAGATTTTTCTCGAGATGGCCTATCTAAAAGGGATTTTACTATTGTTATGTAATTGAGTAGATTTTTGATGTACAGTCAATCGGATGTACTTAAGTATAATCATATTAAAAAAATCGAGTCTAGTTCAAGACGATCGAATTACTGGGAAAGTCGAATTAATAAATTGTGAAATCAATGGTAACAGTAATATTATGTTAAACACCATGGCCAATTTTATTGTCAAGTTACAGTAGTATTTGAAACACTGATCTAGCTATGTTTTTTCCCAAACTGGTTACATCAATAAACTCGTTTGCACCTCTCATTGTGCTAGCATTTTATTAGTTAACTACAACTCAGTCGACGACCTTAATTAGATACAATATGCATACTATCGCTAGTTTGTTTAGACAGTTTTCTTCGAATTCATGCTGATACATGGATTTGCTTGGCTGAGCGATGGTTGAAAGAGAAAACAAAGACTATAAGCTGCTAGATATTTCTGACGTTACCGTATTTAGCATTCAAGCTATTGGTGTTGCGTACATATTTCGTTGCTTCCAAGCACTAGCAACATTACGAATAGCGTAATACAGTTTGGCTTGACTCTGTATCGGTAATTTGCGAATAAGGAATCCATTTAAAATTATCAAGTGGTCCATAGTGTTGAAATGTCCCTAATTAACAACATGGTTTGAAAAGAAAATTTTTTTTACAGAGAGACGTCAATATTGTGCTATCTCTCGTTTGGTAAAAATATTAAACTTTTGTGATTGTAAACAGGCGTAAAAATGATTAACATAAGATGTGTTTCCACTGCCTCAAAGTACAACATATTACTTATGCGCAAGGCAGAAAACCACTATTTATTATTCTGTTTATTACACAAGTTATAAATATTTATTTAGACACAAAGAGTTTTGAATGTGTGCACAGTGAAGATTTGTCTAAATACGTGTAGTCGACGACATTATACAGTAGGTACGCTAAACCGGCAATGAATATTGTGTATAAAGAGACTTAACCGTAAGCAAATAAGCAAATGCGCGTCGTAAATACACGTGTACAAGCAATAAAATAGTTTTCGACTACTACGACCGAATGCTCGCTCTATATCGGAGAGGTTGTTGCGCGTACATTGCGGAAAATTTGGAATATATTATTAATTTTAATCGTAGGTTACCGATAAAAATGCAAACTCTCGATAAATGATTCGAGTATTTAGCTAAAGAGCGTAATTTACGTATGACACGCATGGAAAGTTGTGCTGTTGCCCATGACAATCGTACGGTAGTTCTGATTTGTTTGGCTATTGCGGGATAACTGGAAAATGTCATATAAGTTTACAACACTTTGTGATCTATCACTCATATACTTTTATTTGTGTGTGTTATTGACTAAATTCGACTATTCGATTGTAAGCTTTATCCGCTACAAAACTGTCTCGGTCAAAAAAACCCCCCAGCTTTTTACAAGCAACGTATGTCAATAAAATTAAGCCAATCTGAATCAAGTAAGAATATAAAACAATATTGTGGCTCAATTGGAAGATTATTAAAATATCAACCTTAATATTAATAGTATTTTTATTTTAATAATTAACAAATCAGTACTAAAGTAAAAAAGCAACGTACCGTCAACAACCTAATTATGTCCTCAATGGTCGGCTACTGCCGGTTGAGGAGTTAAATAATAGCTTAATTTTGCGAAAAAAAATGTCGCAGGGAGGACTTTTTTGGTTGTACTTTTTTACGACAAGGCCAAGAAAAAATTAAGCAACCCTCCCCTGTATTTTTACTTACGGATTTATCAGAACAAATACTTATCGACGGTATTTGAATGGTTAAAGTCAGTTTAGGGACATTTGACGGTATTTACAATTTTATATGCACCTGATTTACACACGACAAATACATCACATCCTTAAATATAAAGTTATAACCGCATTTTTTTACACGTCTCGTGGAAATGAAGAAAATTGTGGTTGTAATAAAATAGACAGGAGTAATTTGGCAAAGTTAAAGTTTTTTCTAAGTAAAATTTTATTGAACCCTTTATGTTTTCGATGTTCAGAATTAATAGATTAACACATGTTTATAATAAATGCATGCAAATAAAAAAGGTTATAAAAAAATTTGGTACAAAAATCGCCGTTGCGTAAATGGTTTTCAAAATTGAGATTTTAGAATGCTAGGAGTAATTTGGAAAATTCAGATTATTACCAAAAAAAGGTTTTGCACACTATTTAGCACCTTTTAAAAGCTCGTCGAAGAGCAGATTCTGCAAAACTAAAATTTTTACAATGTTATTTTAATTAGGGCGTTTGGTACCAAGTGCAGCACGAATAATCTCATGTCACAGCTTTCATAGCAGTGACACCTATTATGTTTTAATGTAAAATCACAAAATAATAACGGTTAACGCAACAAGCAATACAACACCATTGTGAACATCGCGTCTATTTTGTCGTGCGGGGAAAACATACCGAATCAGCGTTTGTATAATGTATGTAGCTCTAGTAAAATGTCATAAATTGAACGAATAAAATTATACAGTACGTAAAATTCTGCATGTAATTTAGTTGAAAAATGCTTTTACTTAGTAAATATGATTGTAATGACTTGACTTTGATCCTAATCGATTCGTTATAATAATTCTGTAATTGCAAACTACCCCTGTCTACCTTATGAGATATTCATATGGTATACACTATATGACATATAATATAATAAAAAATATACAGTGATAAAATTTGCAGTCAGTCTAAGTCCTGGTGATACTATTGTTGGTGAAAAAAAAAAGTTTTTTCAAAAATTTCTTTCCCACCTCAAAACACCATGTTTAAATATAAAAATTGACTGTATATGTACTCAAATTATAAGATTTTTACTAAACATCTTTTGCTTTTTTGTTTTGATACAACTTATTTAATTCTTGAACTTTGTCTTTTAACTTTGACCTATCATCATATT